CAAGATTCTTGTTTTACTACTGCAGGTTCATGGGTCAAATATGCTCAGAAAATCATTTAACTTCTTTGTGCCTTAAAACTGAGAGTTGCTGGAAATTACAGTGTTTTAGCAGGGACGGGCAGCCAGTTTGCAATGAGGAAACATTTCCATGCAAATACAGTATGCTGAATAAACTGTCTAAAGAGATCTCAGAAGAAAAAGGACTCATCTCTAAGCTTCTAGTAATTTGTTTTATTTTGGTTCTCATTGTAAATACATTTTTTTCTAATTTTCTAATTGTAATTTTGTATTCTCTTTCTTAAGAAGCTTAAAAAGGGTTGCTAAATTGTATGAGCTCTCTCAAAACCCAGCCCCCCTCCCCTTCGGTGCTGGGGACCAAACCCGGCACTGAGTATGTTAGGCAAGTACTCTAGAGCGCTGAGCCATGGCCCCTCCCCTAGCCCTACTCATTCCTAAAATGAACGTGGACTCTAGCTTATGCGGTCTGTTCTTTGCCAATAAAACTGATGTGCCTTCTCTCAAACGTCTGTTCTCTATGAGCAGACAGGACGAGGAGGTGGTAGGAGAGAAGGAACAGGGAGAGCATATGTTCTAGACAAAGGGAGCAGTGAATGTAATACTCAGACAAAAAAAGAGCTTGTTCATGTAAGTAAATGGAGATCAGAACAGCAGTGATACATGAGAGTGGATAGAGTGATGGCAGAGTCAGGTGGAACTGACTTTTCTTCATGGAAAAGAACTTAGATTTTATCCCAAGATATCACATCCACTGAAACTTCAGAGTGACTAAGCTACATCTAGAGCTTAAGAAGACCATGCTGGCAAGTGTGGAGAACGAATAATGGTGGGACAAGAATAAAACCAGGAGGAAAAGTTGTATTGGCACAGTGGTCTGGGTAAGAAAAGATGGTGGCATAGACTGCGGAGGCAATGGTAGAGATGTGGGAAGTGGTCAGATTGAAATATATATCTTGCAGGCAGTAATGAAGGGTTTGCTGGTAAATTAGATCAGACCTGGTGGGAGTAAGGGAAAAAAAAGAACCAAGGATGTTTCCTGGTCTGAGCGAGTAGGTAGAATGCTATTTGCTGGACAGTTTTAAATATCCTGAGGGTGATGCCTATGATATTCCAAGGAGCAGTGTCAGGTAGGTCTCTGGTTATCTAGAATATATAGGAGAGGTTTACACTAGAAATATAATTTTGGGAGTCATAAATCTATAGTAAATCCAAAACTACAGTAATAAAGGAAAACACATGAGGAGAGTGCAGAGAAAAAAAAAGAAAAGCTAAGATGGAACCAAAGAAAATTCAATACTTCATGATCAAGTAGAGGAACAAGAATATGCAGAAGAGAAAAACAGCCACAGGAGGAAAGCCAGCAGAAGGCAGGACTATGGAAGCCAAGAAAAGACAATGTTTTAAGAAGGCAGAAATGGCCAGCAAGGTCAAAGACCACTAAGATGTTGAACAAGATAAAGACAGAAAAGTGACCTGTGGGGTTGGTAACAGAGTTTAGTAGCCCCCTTGCTAGGCAAAGGAAATGTCAGTATACTTACAGAATAGCAAACCAGATTGCAGTGAATTAATGAGGAATTGAACATAAACAGATGTCATTATATAGAAAGTAAATCAATAGTTAAAAACTGACACTCTCTCCCTTATTAAACAAACAACAACAACATCTATGAGGTTTTTACTAAGTTCTATCAGACCTTCAAAATACAGATGATTCCTGTCTTATAAAAACTGTTTTAGAGAACAGAAAAAAAAGGGGAAAGCTCCTCAATTTATTCTCTGAGGTAGTTATCACCTCATGATATTTGGTCATGTTATAAACAAAGTCAGACAAGGATTTTAAGAGAAGGAAAAATTATAGACCATTTTCATTTCAGTTCACAAATGTAGATATTCTAAAACATTAGCAAAAAACTCCACTAATGAAGGAAAAAGTATATCATACCTAAGTAGAGTTTATTGTAGGAGGCAAAGATGATTTAACATTAGAAATGCATTAATATTAACAAATTAACACATTAAAGAAAAATATAGTATGCATTAATATTAATATATTAAAACATTAAAGAAGAAAATATAGTATACAATTCAAAATACTGTACACACATTTATGGTTTAAAAACTACAAGCTTAACAAGCTGGGAATAGAAAGAAACTTCTTCTTTCTGGAGAAAGACATCTACTCAGATCTGCAATAAATATAACAGTTAATGGTGGAAAGCTAAACGTTTGTTTAAAGTCAGGAACAAGGCAGGGATATTCACTATTGCTGCTCCTATCGCACAATAAACTGTAAGACAATACAAAGTAATAAAAGCTATAAAAATAGAAACATCATCATTCACTGAAATTCTAACTGTGTACACAGAAAATCTGAGAGACTCTAAAACAAAACACTATAATTAATGTTGGCAAGATTGTTGGACATACTCTCCAAATAAAAAAATTAGCAGTATTCCTATGTACATCACAAAATAATTATTATTATAATAAAAATTATAACAGCAATCAAAAGTCTAAGCTAACTAGGTCTAAGTAGCTAATAAAAGATAAGACCTTCGTGGAGAAAATTATAGAACTACTGAGGTACATTAAAAATGAAAGAAAACAGATAAAGAGAGATACTATGTTCACAGTTAGGAAGACTCAATATTGTAAAGCAGTCAAATCACTCAAATAAGATTCTTAAGGAAAGCCAAGAGCTTTGTAGAACCACCTTAAGTAGGAGTTTCTCCTTGCTAGTTAACAAGAAAGCTGGAGATATTTTCCTCTCTCTTCCCATGAAGGGCTTGGCTTAAAGTAACACTCCTGACTCAGCATCTGACCACTCTGTCATAGAGGAAGACTTTTCTGATTGGTGATTACAGACCAAACAATCAGGGTAACCTTGGCTCAGGCTGGCCTGGGCTCCTGCAGAGAAGTCATCTGATAACTCTCTGCCACATGGCTGAGGCCTCCTCTGTGGGGAAAGCAGTGGCTCTCCAGGTCATATTGTGATGGCAAGGGGAAGTATAATTTTGAATGATGTCTTTGCAAGCTCTTTTTATTACAGATCTAAAGCCACATTTTCCAAGTGGTTGTCTTCTCAGTAATAAAACTGGCATTTTGACTGTACTTGTCTGTCTCTTGTATCCTTTCTCACAAATGGTTCCAATTCTCATAGGAGGAGAACTTATTTATTGGGCAGCCTCCAACCTCAATGAAACTTACAGAAATTACATCTTACAATAATAATTAAAAACGTGATTCTAGCCCATGGATAGGCAAATAAAATAATGGAGCAGAATAGGAAGCCTACAGACAGATCAGTGCACATAAGCAATACTCGGTACATGAGAGAGGTGGGGAAATGACAGCCCCTCAAATAAATGACACAGGGACAATCTGCTATCAGTACTAAGTAAGATTTATTTAGTGATTAATCAGGTAGTTTTATGGGGTGCCTCTTTTTTTCACTATTTTAGCATATTTACTGTTAGCATTAGAAAACTTCTCATGAATTATATTCCTTGCTTCCAATTACAGTGTACCGCAACTTCTTTGGGAGCAGGGCTTGAACTTTGTTTTTCTTGTTACCTTCCAGAGTGTCTACAGCAGAGATGCAGATGCTAAATGTCTGCTAGCTCATTTCTATTATTATTATTAGCACTAGTTTACATTAAAATGCAATTCTTTCTCTGCATTTCTCAAGGCATCCACCTCCATCCATATCAATTCGAAGCTTTGAAAATGATTTTGACATTCTGAGTAGAATTCTTTAAACAATGGTGTACAGTATTTGTTTAACAAGAGTTCTACCTAAAGCCAGATGTTGGCAATCTCTCATTTGAGATTATATGGGACAAAAAATCAGAACTCTCAAAGTAAAGATGAACCATAGATGTCACTTTCTTATTATCTTCAAAGTTTATCCTCATGGCATAGAAGAAAACAAAACCGATTTTGTATACCCCCCAATAGTTTTCCCATCTAGTATTCCATTTCATCATTACAACAAACTGGTGAGATGAGCAAAGGAAGGATTGCAGAAAAGAAAATCAAATTTCAGAGAGGCAGGACTTCAAATCCACACAGCAGATCAGAAAAAGCAGATCCCACAATGGGATCAGAAACCAGTGCTCTTTACAAAAGACTATGTAACTCCCAGCAGTTTTAACTCTAAAGGCCTGATTGCCATTCCCATGATTTTGTAAGTTGCTCCTATTACTCAAGGATTCAAATTCTAAGAATTACTAAATGGCTAGAGCTCATAGCTTTCCATTTATTTAAGTAAAACTAACGTCTTCTTTGTATCAGATTCACCTTCTCTTTCCCCTCCTCCTCTCTCCCTTCTCCCTTCCCTCTCCTTTTCTCCAATACTGAGGATTAAACCCAGCGTCTTCATCCCTAGCCATCTTTTTTAGAGGCAAAGTCTCTTTAAGTTGCTAGCTTACCCAGCTTGGGCTCAAATTTGCAATCTTCCTGCCCCAGCCTCTGAGAGCATGGAGATTACAGGCCTGTGCCACCCTTCGATTCTTAAAAGGGTCAAGTTTATCCTGACAAAGCCTTTTAAGCAGCAGCTTAAAATGTACCACCTTGTGGTACAACAGACACTAATACCAAATACAGACATATTTTAATATGTACCCTGGTCTCAGATGAGGTCCTGAGAACCATACCTCCTCCTTGCCTGCTTTCCTCCTTCAGTCTCATAGTCACTGATGCTGATGCCTATTTGATACACATGTTCTTCGAAAAACTACTAGGCCCTACATCTCCTTTCCATGAACAGTACGAGCTGTCCTCCAGGTCTGGCCTCAGCTATGCCCAGCCAACTTCCCACTGTTCTCACAATACCCCTGGACCTCCTATCCTCAGCCAGGTGGATCTTTCCCTTTCTTCAGATATCTTATTGCAGAACAAAGTCCAAGTGTGCAGCTGTGTGCAAGTCAGGAAAGTTTTTCAGGTTCATGTCAGTTTCTGGTTGTCAAGATGATGATACTCACCACCTGACCATTAGTCCATGCTCCATGAAGTTTTTCAGATTAGGAAGGGTTTGCCTCAAGTCTGGAGTCCCTAGTCCATGTTGATATCTTAGCTGCAAAGGTAGAAGAACAGAATTAAAAGATGTTTTGGCAGATTCTAGGCAATGCTACAGAAAAATGAACAAGTTATTTTTTGAGCTATAAAATAGGAAATGTAAATGCACATACAAACCACAGTTTGTATGGTATTTAATAGTTTCTTCATTTACTGTTCCCTTACGGTCTAAACTTGCAGAAGACTGAGAGTGCCGACTGTAGCTAGTCATCTGTTCTGCTCTTTGGCCCTGGTAGCATTTGCTAACAACAACTCCAAGGACATACAGCACAAAATGAGCACTGTTTTTCATTTTAGATACTGGCAGCTTCTCTTCTCTTCTTGGCCCTTCCCTCTGTATAAAGAAAGATAAGGACCACTTGTATTCATCTCTGATTTATATGTCTGGCATAGTGCTGGTGTTCAGCCACTGCTCATTAAACAAATGAACAGCAAGCTACTTCTGACAGGGGCTGTGCTCCATATCTCTGGTCTCCAGCTCTCCTCATTGTCCAGAAGCAGAGCGGCGCTGGATAGTTGGTATGAGAAAACCACTGGTGCATGGGCTACCTCTACCCTTTGTCAGACTCTTTCTACCAGTGGCAATTTCCTAAATGTTTCCTTCTTTGTACTTTGGATAATTTGCTAAATGGTTTTCAACTACCTCTTTTCACTCTGTCTCTGAATACTACCATTTGCTTCCTAACAGACCATAATGGTTATATATTAATACATATGCTCATCTGTACCCCAGAAACACTCACAAAAATGTGTTTTTCAAATGACAGAATATACGTGAAGAAAGTTTATACATTTTAGAACTTGGTACCAGTATACAAACATGAAGGAACATTAGTCTTAGGGTTTTACCTTTTTTAGTACTTATGTAAAATTTTTAATATTTTCTTTTCTTAAAAATAAAATCCATTACCAACAACAGCAATTTTTTTTGTTTGTATCTAGTATTCAGTTGATTTTTCTCAGTAAGTGACACTTAACAGAGACAGAGTTCACTTTCACTGAGAGTGAGCTTTTAAAGAGAAACACTAAAATGTAACTGGGTCTCCAGAACAGTCTGAATGTCTATGCACATAGAGCAAGGAGGCAGAAACATACAATGTTAAAACTAAAAAATATTTTGAATATTATTTAAGCTCTAATCTTTTCCTTTTGCAGATGGGAAAACCAAGGCCCAGAAAGGGGAAGTAACTTCTCCAAGGATAATGGCCCAGCTATATTAGCCAGGGCCTGCTTTTCACAATCTATGCTACTCCACCATCTACTCCAAAGCCTGAGAAAAAAATTAGTAACAGTACCTGAGAAGACAGAGGGAAAATATTCTTCATCTTTTTAAAACCTAGCTTGGTGACCTAAATCACCTCCTGAGATTTGCTGACCTTGAATTATAAGATCTACCCCATATTAAATTACATCATTTCTTGTATTAATATGGAAGCATTTTTCCATACATTGATAAAAGCAAAGTGGCTGATGTCCCAACATGACATTCCTGAATTCATTGTTTCAATAAAAAAGTGAAATTGTTTACACATGGCATGAAAATTTCACCTGTGATTCATACTGAAAAATATTAAATATAAAAAAAACCCATCCTGAAATAACACCAAGCTCTGTGTCTCTGAGCCAGTACACAGTCAATTGCCTGCCCCAGGCTTCACAATGGAAGGTGGGTGTTGAATTCTTTTCAGAGACCAAAATGAAGATTTCTCTCCAAGTCTGATTTCAACCAAAAAAGGAAAACGGGAACTTCAAGCCTCCACCCAGGTCTTAACTGTGCAACTGTTGTGTAGCACTATAATTGTATCATAGACTTTTAGGATTTTATAGCTTAAAGAGAGCCTGGAGTTCAACTTTCTTACCTCTGTTCTTTTACAAAATGAAGAAACTAAAGCTCAAGAAGGCACATGTCCTGTTCAAAGTCACAGGGTTGACAAGGGACAAAGCCAAGGACAGAACTTTTTAGTTACAGCTCCCAGTTCTATCATACCACCCTTTCAGTTTTCAACATAGAAAATTACAAGAGAAATACATACATAATAAATACATGTACATGTATTTAAGTACATGTATGTTTACGAATTCTAAGTCTACATTACCATAAGGTTTATAATGTTGTTTAGTGGCAACCGCTTTTAGCTATTTCTTCTTTACCCTCATCTTTCTAAATTTTAAGTTCATATTAATATTCTTATGCTTTCCCCCATTTTAGACACTATCTACTGTGTTCTTGCAATGAAAGATGAGAACTTAGCTTTCTTACTCCTCTTCTGTCTCACACAAACATTTCATCCCTTCTTCCACATATTACCTACTGATTTTTCTTTTTTTTTTTTTGGTACTAGGGATCGAACTCGGGTCCTTGCACTTGTGGGGCAGGCGGCAGCACCACTGAGCTACATCCCTGGCCCTCTACTGATTTTTTATTAATAAAATGAAAATTTGACTTTCTACCCCTCCACATTCACTTCCCTTGCTTATCCTCTCAATGTATTCAGTATCACACTTTTTGTTAAATAAACTCTTTGTGTTTACTTCATTATACCTATACAAATATTGTTCACTCCTGAACGATATCACATATTATTCCTTTTTTTGTACCTTTTTGTTTATTTCTGGAAGTGAGAATTGCTCTTTTTCTACCAGTTGAATTTTTAATGTAAAGTGTAGCCACTACATAATTTTCAAACCTCGACAAAACTTTAAAATTCCTTTCCATTTTATTAACTATATCATTTAGCCTGTCAAGTCTATTTTTCCCCTTAGAAATATACTTCCTAAAGCCTTACAGACCTTGATATGATAAAGTATATAGTGTCCAAAGCAGTACCGTATCTGGTACATAGTAAGTGCTCCATATACAATACTTACTATCATCATTAATAATGTACATTCTCTCTCTATATTACCATTCTCTACTAATTGGATGGGCTAAAAACTGCTAAACCAGTAATGGCTTCTTAATTAATTAGAATAGGAATCAAAAAAGGAAAAAAAAGTGAGTTACTTAACAACAAAAGAAAAAAATCTTTAGTATATTGCTCATTCCTTTTAAATGCTAATTTTCACTAAACCTCTAACTGGAGAGGCAAAGACAAGACACACAGACACAGACACAGACACACACACACACACACACACACGTCAAAATAATTACAGAGTGAAGTGGAAAGATTGATACATGATGTGGATGGTCAGAAGACCTGGGTGACAGACCCAGCTCTGCTGCATGGTTAGGTGCAAACTCCATCCTTGTTTGGGCAAGTGAAATTATTTTCAAACTTTTTAAATTAAGTGATCTTTAACAAGTTACCCCGGTATTATCAAAAATAGAAAAAGAAGGATCTAGGCTGAGGGCCAAAGGACAAGGATAGGAAAAAGGAGAAAGAACTATTTATTAAGTTCCTACATATCTCATTCATTCAACAAATATTTACTGAGTGTCCACTAGCGAGGCAGAGTAACCAGCTCTGTGTCTTTGGAGTCAAAGGCCTGGACTGAACCTATTCTCACCATATAATACCTTCAGCAAGTTACAGACCCATCAGTGCCTTGTTTATAAAACACAACCAATGATATCTGTCTCCTAAGATTGACATGAAGTACAACTAGAATTTTCATAGAGAATGGAAGCTCCTGAAGCCTGACTTTCAGAGGGTAATCATTAAAACTGCTGGGTCTAAAGGATTAATGTGAAGAGTTCCGATTTTCTTGCTTATCAGAGGTCAGAACTGACTTCAGGGCTTTAAGGAGGAGAGTGAAAGATGAAAACAACTGTAGAGGCAAAGGAAAGGGTAAAAGCTTAAGCTCCTCTTCTTTAAGAAATATTATTTCAGTTCTATCAAAACATACCCCCACCAACTACTATCAATACTACACTTCCCCAAACACGGCTCCTTCTATCCTCTCTTCTGATTGCCATGGCAGATGCCAAGAAGCTTAGGCAAATAAAATACTTTGAGTCTAACTGCCTCAAATTAGCCTCTGAAATAAACACCTTTTGTAACAACTTCCTACTGCACCACCACCCAGTCTAAGCAGTTTTAAGTGGAATTTTGGTTTCAATTAGTTTGAATTTCATTCAGCTTTACTTGGATTGGTTTAGGACTTCATGGAAACAATTAAATTTTTATTCTGTTCAATGGCTGGTAGGCAATGAAGACAAGAACTACATATAGATAATAAATTAGATGGGAAGTAGGAAGAAGCAATGTTCAGGGATTTTCCTTGAAAAAGCAACGAATGGTATTGTCGACTAGCAAAAGAAAATCCCTGTATTAAAATAGCCAAGAGAATCTGGCTTTATAGTTACTGGAATAAGCAGAAAAGAATAAAAACTAGAACAAAGAACACATTTAGACAACAACAGACAACTACATTCACATCAATTCCACTAACTTCCCCATTTTCCTCTTACTCTGACCCCACCCCCTTTTTGTTAAAGATACATTATTTTTCCAAAGCTACATGCTGGTCACATCTCAAATCACAAAACATCCAATTGCAAGTTTCACCACATAAGACAAATAGATCAACTATGATGCTAGAGCTATTATAGCTTGGAATTAACTAGTTGATACAGCATGATGAATGCTGGCCCACTGACGAGGTATGACCATTTGCAGCTCTGGAGATCATATTTAAAAATAAAGCATGATTATACTTCTGAGAAATAAAGGATGAGATTTTATACTCAGTGAGCATCCTTCTGTTGAGCTGAGAAGTCTGATTTAATATCAAACTTCTCAATTTTATTTTTATTTTTTTAATACACAATTTTTCCAGGCCAGGAAAGATTTTGGGGTTCAGGAATCATTCTGTCATTTAGGTTTTGGCAGAGAAAAAATTCACTTAGGCAACACACACACACACACAAACACACACACACACACACCCCCTTCCAAACTACATTCATCTACACAAGGCCACTTATTGCGTGGCTTATTAGTTCCACATGGAGCTTGAGCTAAGCTGCATGATATGTTTGATACAAACCGTCTG